CAACGCGCGCTACTTTTAAAGAAACCATGTAAAGCTTTTTAAGTATAGATTGCGAAGTAACACAATTTTTCAAAGTTTTGATTTTGGTAAAATCAAAGGCGCGAGCATTTAAACTCAACTCTTTTGAGCGTTTATATCTGACGAACACTCTGGCCAATTTTCATGAAAATCCATCAAATCTACACCCCTTGTTGATTCGTGTAAGTAGAGGTAACTCGCGTAAAAAGAAACCGAATTTTTGGGCTGCTAAGATATTCACAGTTTTGGCCCCTCATTTAAGCGCGGTCATGCCGCCGACCAATGAAACACAACATCGAACCCCCTGACAAGTCTCGTGAAAAAGGACTCCTTTGAAATTCGCGGGAAAGGTCATTTTCGAAACTGGGAACACGAATTAAAATGAAATCCAAAATTCATCAAAAAAAGCAGAAGGAAAAGGGCGCAAAGCAAGCTAGGAAAAAAGTAAAACGCAACTTGGATTTATTTGGCCCGGGCTCTCTCGCGACTTTTCTCTTCTTTGCCGTTTGATAAAGACCCTTATTTCCTGACGTTTTGCGAAATATGCAACAAATTCCCTTTTGTTGTGCAGTGCAAGACGCGATGTTAACAAAATGTGCAAATCGAGATCCCAGACGAAAGCCCGCGAAAAAAGGTCTTTTAGCCGTATCTCGCGTTCTTTATAAGATTTTACATTTTTTTGACAAATCAAACTGAACTAGTTTTTCAAACTGAATAGCAAAGTAACAATTTTGAACATTTTGACCAGATTTTGTTGATAGTAACCTAAAAAAAATTAGCACAAAAATTGATAGCACTGCAATACGAGTATTTCTTTACCCGCTTGAGACTAGTCGGGAGAGGTTTCTGGGGGTCTGGCTCTAAGAATGATCAGTGCCAGACCCCTTGCCGACCGCTCGCTGTTTCTTGGAAGACTTACCCCCCTTTTTTCATTTCGATGGACTTCCTTGTTCGCAGAATTGCCCAAACGGTGAATCTGAGGTGATCAGATCAGGATGTGTGGAGGTTGTTGATGACTGTGGTCCTACAATCTACAACTGCAAGCTTAATAGCCTTGCTAGTGGTAAGAGAGAGGCATTAGACGTCATATTTATAATTTTTGGTTTTTTGGCATTTTCATCACAGATGATGCGCAGGTGAGAGATAATCCACAATTTACAGCAAGTTCTTGAACCCCTTTCCTTGCTGAAAACTTATGGGGCCGGTTATTCACCCCGTCCCGTGGTCTAACCCAAGCCGCGGTTTTACGTAAGCAGTGGGCCTCAGGTCTTCTCTATAGGGGGGTTGATTAAATTAATTGAATGTCGTTCCACTATTATCTTTCGGCCCTCTTTTGGCTAAATTGAAGATAGCTAAGAACGCGGTTTTATAAAACAACGTCTGAACTTTGTTTGAATAACTAGTCCATGTAGTTTACATAAGTGTGGGTTATTAAAAGACATGAAATTTCGTACCAAAGATTTTTCGTTGTACAGCAGAGCAGAAAATGAATTGACAAAATCATTCATGACTTACCCGTTACGATATCGTATTGGAGACCCCCGCTAAAACATTTTGCCGAGTTTTCCAGACAGTTTTCTTGGTCTTCATCAATACTACTGAGTGGAAAAGACTATGTAAGGGTAGGCACCAGGACCTTACTGCAATGACCCAGCCAAGCTGAGAACTCTGACAAAAATTGAAGTACTTGTATTTAAAGCTTTCATTAAAGAATCTAGGGTTGCTCCTGGAGGCGCCTCAAGCAATTCTTAACCTTCGGCCCTTTTAAAAGGCCGCAGCTTGTCACACTACAGACCAATAAAATAATTCTTGTAATTGTAGGGCTACTATGAAGGAAACGATGTTTACAAAAACCGTATAGCTGGGTTTGAGATTCGGTCTCACGCCAATCCAACAGTCGTGGGATGTAAAATACACCACGGTATGACGGGTGGCATATACTGTCATGACGATGTAAGTACACTTTGTTTGATTTACATTACAAATATATTTGTGTGTTTTAAAAACTTAATGGTGTATCTTTAACTAACAGGCACGTGGTGAATTCCTGGAAAATAAGATATATTCTAACACA